AGATGGCCACAGTTTGAGGAATGCTGTACCAGAAATTGATCTTAACTACACTTTTGCCAAGGAAGCAACACTTATCTCTAAAGATAATAAAAACACCATCTCAGCAGAACTCCAACTTTCTTATGTTATCACTCCTTTAAAACTACCCTATCCTAAGCAGGGCAAGCAGATATACCCATTTTGGTTTTTGTGGTGAAGACTGATGAAAGAAGAAAAAAGAAAAAAAGGCAAACCAGTAAGAACACTTTTGAAGCTTGATTGCTTACATTGAATACTGCACTACATAGGCCCCAAGACATTGAAAGTGAAGGTAACAGTATCCAGAGTTGACAGAGTCAAACTTAAGAACATCATAGGTCTGTCATCACTTTAAAAACTGCCAGGAAAAGAAAGCTATAGGCTCCTCTGCTTTAGGAAGACAGCATTCAAATGCAGGAACAGGGGGGAACTGGTGACTGTTCGGTCAAGAGCAGATTCAACATGGGCACACTGCAGTGAAGGGCCAGAATTCATTATAGACGAAGTTGAAACAATTTTCCATGCAAAAGTAAAACATAGTTAAAAATAGGAAGGAAGAAATATATTAGGCAGACAGTTTGAGTAACAGAAACTCCCAAGTTTTGATTTACATGCTATAAACTATAAAAAATATTTTTGTTAACGCACTTTTCCACCTACTCCTGCAAAAAGAGTTATTGTATACATAACCTTAATCTTTACAATGACCCTGTCTTCCCACTTTTAGGCTTTACAGCAAGATAAGTATACACAGGCACTTGGAGCTTTGAAAGTAATCATGCTATAGATAATGTAGTCTTTTAGTTATTAAGATGTTAGATGAAGTCCTAGCAATAGGAAATAGAAATGAAAACATGAAAAAGGAAATAGACCAGAAGGAGCTGATGAGCTCCTTTATTTTAACATTTATTTTAATATTTATAAATTTATATTTTAATATTTATTTTTATATTAGTGTTTCTAAAACACTAATATTAAAATAATTAAAATAAGCTCCACCACAAATAAAAAAGCACCTAGCTCTGCTTGACTTCCTTAGGGTGAGACAATTATATATTAATAACAAGATAACTAAAGGAGACCTCTCCTCTGTGACGATGGTCCTCTATCTGGAATTTCAGTTCATACATGGGTTCCCATCTGCAGGTGCTTCAAGATGTCCATTAAGAAGATAACTTGCCAGTTTTCCAGGAGTTAAGTAAGCTTTTGTCTCAGAAGGATAACCACCTCTTTGTGATATCAGTAACCTTAGCAGACTCATTTCCTCTGTCATTTAGAGCTCCTAAGTGACAAAGGTTGCATTCAACCAGAAATATAATACTTGCTATATGTTTTCTTGACCTGCTATAACTCATTAGAGGTATACTGCTAAAAGACAAGAGACAATGGCTGTAAGTTGTACCAAGGAAAATTTGGTCTGGACAGAAGGAAAAAAATTCTTCCCCCTGAGTGTGGTGCAGCACTGGAAAAAGTGCCCAGAGGGGCCGTGTGATCTCCATCTTGGAGATCTCAAAACTCATGAGCAACTTGATCTGGCTTTCAAGCCAGCCCTGCTTTGAGCAGAGGGTACGTCTAGGGACCTCCAAAGGTCCCTCTTCACAACCTATTCATTCTAGAATCAAATAGTTAAAACTTGGATTAACATACTATAACATTTATAAAAAAACTCATGAAACCTGTTTCCTTTACACAGGTTCATAAAACTCCTAGGGAGTGTTGTCCCTGTCTCTGGATCAACTGTAGTATTACCCCTTAGGAAACTAACAAATACATTAGCTGCAAAAATTCCTAAGAACTGGGTTTGAACTCATCTTCATTTGAGGAAAGAGCATCATCAAAATTGAAAAAAATCAATGAACCATAGATATGTTTTTATAGCACCTTTTAAATTACATTACAAGGATTGAGAGGCACTACTGTTGATAAGTGCATTCCTACAAGAAAGCTACACTAGGAAAACTCCTCTCTAGTAGAAATCAATACTTAAATTAGGATGATAAAATAAGTATATTATAACAGGCAAACCTGTAGAGCCCTGCACGTCCTAGAACTGCAACTTTCACCCTCTACTGGTTAATATATCACTCATGCCTTCCAAGTCTAATAGTGACTGAAATAGGAGACAAACTGTTTTCAGTACTTCTAGCCTAAGATACCTGTTAGCAAAAACTTTGCAATTTCCCGCTCAAAAAATGTTTATCATCCTCTTCATCTGAGTTGAAAATAGACATCTATGAAAGGCAAAAATTGAATTCATATGGCTATATCTAGACATTCATATGCTTTTGAAAATAAAACACTGCATTAGCCAGGCTTTGTTTTAAGCAATGTTATTTAATATCTGGATGCGCACTGAGAGACTGGGTGTTATAAATGTTTTACAAATCAGCCCTCAATTCACACTGTACTATCTGCATGATCTGCACTATATATTCCCTTAAAGTTTTCAACTGAAATTGTTTTGCTGTAGAACAGAAATATGTAACACCCACTGTGTTCTCATTTGGTGAAACCCTCCTCATTCCACAATTGTATTTCTTAATTTACAAAAAAAATAGCTTTTCCTTATAGCCCAAAGAGGTGGGTGCATAAAGCCAGAGCAGAATACTTTTACAGATTAAGACACAGGGGTGAATTGAACTGCTGGTGAATATCGTAATGATCCTTTATTTGGTTTTACGTTTTTAAGAACTTGAAAATATTCTAAGACTGACTATGCAGTTAGCATTCCCTCAGAATATCAGACCTTAGAAGGGACCTCAGAGAATCCCTGGTCTGTGCCAAGAGTGAGCATAACAAATACCTGGTTCCTAGCTTTGATGTACAATCACTTGGAAACTGGCAACAACTGTATGGCCAGAAGCAAGGAACTGAGGCTCCAGGAATAATTTAGGATAATTCTACAGTGCCATATCTAGTCTCCCAGCATAGGCACTTCGGTTAAAGAATGACTTTCAGTTTGCATTCTTACTGTATAAAGGTGAAAAAGGAATAGTTAAAAAGATTTGCACTGTTGCAAGTTGTATTAAAAAATAGACTAAAAAGTCTAATTAATTTGGGGATGTGAACATTATTTAAGCTACATATTGCAACACAGTTAATGTATTTGAAAACTTCAGTCAGAAAAGGCTTTGAATATTAGGCAAAATAAATGCTGTTTCTTCTGTCCATCAAAGCCTGAATATAAACTTGTTAAGTTACACAGTGCTCCCATAACCAGAAAAAAGCTGAGTATAATCTAATCAATCTAAGAAAGAAGGATCACAGTAAATTATCAAAATCCACAAAGTGTGGTTGATGTTTGCCAAGGGAATAAGCAACTACATTGAGACTCATCTCAAATCCCCCTCATGGTACAGAGATGCAAAACCCTAGCTCAGTTGCAGAAAGAAAGGATAGTAATTTTTCAGGTATATATACTCTAAAGCTCTAACATTACCCAGAAAATAAAAACCGCATTTATTTTAGTGGTAACAGTCAAACTTGAAGTCAAGTAAAGTATGGAAGATAAAAGCAAGAAAAATAGTCTCTGAGAACAGAGAATCAATTTCACATGTCTGGTCCTTTTTTTCTTTCTCACAGAAGTTTAAACGACAGAATTTCTATGAAATCATATCAGTATAATGAACCATTATAATGGAGACAGCAAGATACAAATGACGATGGAGCGTTAGCAGATGTACCTCTATTTTTAATCCATCTGAGTTGTCAGGTCTAGTAAAACTTGAGAATTCCTCTAGGCAGTCACAGTTTAACTTAACATTTATAATATTTACTAACAACATACCAGGTGTTGTAATCTTGTTCTGAGTTTGTCTATTCCATACAGTAGCCTGGCCTGGAATAACTGGTATTCAAAAAGTACATAAATCCTGCACAAAAACATTGAGGCAAAGAAGCGGAAATTTCAAAGTCTTGCAGAACCTCAATAAGATTTTATGGTCTCGCTACCATTTGCCAATTTGAAACATTTCCCTCCCAATAAAGAGCAATTCTGCTCACACTACGAATTAATGGTTAAAAGTCTTTGAAAAACTATATGCAGTATTTCAATGTTAACTCAAAGAATAATAAATACATTTTACACAGATTATTGATTATCTGTATTACTAACACCAGCTTTTGCAGATAATCACATAGAGGCAGATTGTATAATAACGCCTAGTTGGAGTCTGATTATTCAAAAGATAAATGCTAATGAATGTCATCTTTCTTATGTATACAAATTATCCAGAAACAGATTTTGGGTTTTTTTTTTGGATTGTTTGTTTGTTAATATCACAGTTCATTTATTCCTAGACAGATACCTTATGTAAGAATATTTCAAGTCAGCAGTTTTCACAAACATTTCCTTTTCTTTACTCAGTATTTATAGTATACAACAAAAATTGTTTTGTTTTGGTTTGGCTTTCTTGTAGAGATATTGTGGAAATTCCTTAAAAAGCATGATTGTTTTGTTCTGCTTTATTTTAAGCCCAACTTCTGTGTTTGTAAAGTCAAAATTCAAAATATACAAAAAACACTGGGAACACATATGGATGTGTTCAGGTGAATAAAACTTGTAAAACCAGGAGTAAAAAAATCAAATCAATTTCAAAACTGTCAAATACTTTCACACTGCTTCATGATGTGAACACCAGCTTCTGATTATTCACCAGACTTTGTGACCATAGTCTCCAATAAAAATTCACCAATGTAAATGGAAATTCCTTTTTTTTTAAATAATTAATGCTTTAAAAAAAAAATGTGAAGTATGATATTCTTCCAGGAATAAGCACTATACAAAAACAAAGGTACATTAGTGCTTAGTGTATTTTTGTTACTGTAAACTATTATCAGAGCTACAGAAAAGCAGTGAGAGCATTATTTTTAATGCTCTGATCAATCCAAGATTTCATTTGCTGAAGTAACTGGAAGGAACTTAATTAATCTGCCTCAGCTAAGAACCAGGTCCCTTAGTGTTTTATACAAGTCCATATTACCTTATGAGGTCAATAGGCTGAAACTTGTAAAATACTCCGTATCTTGCCCATTCTTGATACAGCAACTAAATAAAAATTAAAAAAAAAGAACAAACAAACAACAGAAAATTAACATGAAGCAAGTGCTCCCATCTGTTTTTACAAACATCTTATAAGAGTTAAAAATATATGTACCAAAAAAGAGTTTCCCATACTTCAAAACAAACTTCCAAGTACATTTTTCAGACAGTTATGGAAGACTCCAACCAAGCCAGCAATGTGAGGATGGGGTACACACATCTTTCTCCGCATACCTAACCCCCTCCTCAATTTATTAGATAGTAATGTTAAATAGAAGGGCTCAAAAGGAAAAAAAAAGATGCTGTAGTCTTGTGGAAATCTTTGGAAAGATGCTAGAAATAATCCTACTTACAGAGTGAAATTCTACTATGATGTAATTTTTTAATGTCTGGAACCATGCCATAGATAAGTACTGACCAGTGTTTCCAGGTTCAAGGTGAAGTGAACTGAGGTAAGAGTTCAAAACTGGTAAACTGGTATGTAAAAACATACCAAGAGGTAACAAATGTGGCAAAATCTGCCTGTTCTCCTTCTCAGCTCCCGAGGCTACTATACCCAGTAAAGCCCGTAAAAAAGCCCCTTCTCTCCCCATACTGCACATGAACACACAAGTTCACATGTTTACTGTTGGAAATGCAAATTCACCCACAGCTTACAGACAGCACAAGGAAGGCGCAGATCCTACAGAAACTGCTTACAATGGAAGGAATCCAGTGGGAACAGAGTCAATGATAAAAGGAAACATTTCAGGACCTGTGGTATATTAACCACTATACACTCAACTGCAATAGGCAAGGGACTTGGGACAGTCTTCCTCATTCTCTCTTTCATTGCTGTGATCTATGTGACACAACTTTGTCAAATTTTCAAAGAGAAAAAAGAAACCTTTGACACTCTTTTAGAAGACGCCGTAAAGGAAACTGCTAATTTTGGTGTGAAAGACATCAAACTGTTCTGAAGCAAAAGCCAACTGCTGGATAGAAATTACCATGCAATTAACAATTTGGTAAAAGAGTTTAATTTGATAGCGGGACATTTTATAACTGTGTATGCATTTATTAATAATCCAGAAAGGACATTCAAAAATGAAGCTTTCCAGAATTATATGAAGACCAAAGGAAGCTCAGAGGAAATATCAGCAGGATCTAAAAAAGTTAGATGACTGTTCACATATTTTATCTTCAGAGGAAAACAAAAATCAGGGCAGTCCCATGCAAAAGAGTAAAATTTTCTGTGGAACCACCTGAATTGTTTGTATTCTTTTCATAGTTTTGTACTGTGACAAGACTGTAGACAGTCTAAGACAACATGCTCATTGAAAACTATTTCTTGAAGTACAGAGTGCATCAAAAAATAATAAACAAATAACCAGAATATGATGATAAATGAAACTAAATTAACCACATCACTATTTATAGATTATAAATCTGTACCATCCAAAAAGACAGGTGTCAAGCCTTTTATCCCTGTTTTCAAAAAAAGAAGTGGAGGGAGTCCAGAAAAAGAGTAGTATATGAGAGGTACAGTCAGCTCCTTTAAAATAAGGTACCATGTCATTCCTAGTAAAATTTGAGTAGTGATAAAACTGTGTTTTAATAACGAGCTTCTGTGTGGAATATCTGCTGGCTCCAAGAGATGACCTCATCCTTCAGTTCCTTCCTTGCTGTGAGCACTAACTGACAGTCCCTTGCCTGTCTCATGGAAACTGTAGTTAATGTGAAGCAATGTAATTACTGTGTTAATACCTTGGAGACTTCTACTCTTCTGTAAACTTTGTCTGGGATTGGGCAATAAGTTTTAAAGCTGCTGAGGAGGAAGACACAAACCAAGAAGCACACGCACACAAATACACAACCAGGTACATACAGAGGATGTTCTGCAGAGAAGTTAAATTAAATATTTGTTTACTTTTTTTTTCTTTAACAGAAAAAAAGGAACTCCAAATACAGTCAAAAACAGTAATTTTAAAACAGTAAGATACAGATTTTTTCAAAATGTGTAGTATGTGGAACTCATCAGTTTAGTTGCAGACTGGATTGCAAACTGTTTAGTTCTATCTGCAAAATAGATGCTCATTAAGCATGATGCTTTTTTTCCAGTAAATAATAGATTATTGCACAATGGAGTTATGTAAGTGTGCAAGAGCTGGAGAGCATGTTAGTAACAAAGTACACACAGTTTTTGCAATTATCAGTAGTTGAATCTGTCAGATGATCCATTTTGAAAGCTAGCAGCACGATACAGCATCTTATGAATTTAACGGAAGAATTAAAATAAGTGTGGAGATATTTCAGATACTGTAACTGCAGAGTTATCCTGACATATTTTGAGGTTTTCCAATCACATATTTCTACTGTTTATAATGCCTCTCCTCCTGCAGATGCTATGTGAAAGAACTAAATAAATATTAAGTGAGCAATTAAGACCTGGATCCTGCAAACATGCGCCTGAGAAAGTATTATTCTTCAGAATATGGAAACTGGCTTGCAACCATTTAAGTGAACAGAGCTATGCCATTGCATACTCATTAAAGATACAGCATAAAGTGTTTTATATTCATAGATCAGGGAGTAAATCCTACTCTGCTGAAGCAAGTGGGAATTCAGCAATGAGATTCAGGGAGTGTGGAGTCTCAGTTTGTAGAATATTGCTCTTACAGAGCGCAGTCTTACAAAATGCTTTGCACTTGTGGAAAGAAATTATGAGACCAGGTTTGATATTCAATGGGAGTTGAAGAGGATTGCCCTAGCTGCCATATTGATATTTTCATATGAATACTTGCAGTTACCTACTCAAAATCACACCTTGCCATTACCCCACAGCATTACTTACAATTTTATTTATTTCCATAAATAATCATACTAATAAATGCATTCACTGAAATATACAAAACAAGAAAGTTAAAGCTATTAAATTATTAGAACTATTTAAAAGCTGTTTTGAACATAGCTACAGAATGGAATGTGAGGAGCAAAAAGAAAGGTCTTTCTAAAGTTGCAGTCAGTTCAAGAACAAGTTGCTGTGGCATTATGTCAGACTACAGAACCACACTGGTTATTGTGATTGCAAAGCCCTGAAGGTGAGTTTATGACGTGAATATTTTCTGTTCACCTGTGCTGCCCACACTAAACCTCAGTCTCAACACTGCAATTTTACAAGATTAAGTTTAATCTGGAAACTGGAATGTGCTTCCTTTCATGATATTTATTAAATTGAGAGGAATTCTAGGAAAAGTTTTGTAATATAATTTATTGTATTTTATCATCTTCACTTAAAAGCAGTACTTCGTGTAACTTTAGAATAATACTTTCCAATCTGCTTCTAATATTCTTGGAATGTTGTTGTAGTATATGACAACAGTGTATTTCCCAGATAGGTAACAGAGCCCTTATGTATTTCTCAATGTCAAACATATTGCTAGCAATGAAAGGTTACAAGTTGCCAGTGGGCTAGAAGCTTAAAAAAGGCCCAAGTCAGTGTTTATACTCATGGCGAGTTATTACCTTGCTGCTGTGCAATAGCTTTCTTAAAAATATTTTTTCTAGAGCAGAAATCACACTAAAACAGGGAAATTCCTTTACTCCAATCAACAGTCTTATGAAAGCAATGAGTTTCATTGACTGCAGATTTCCAGTTCTTGTGGGATGTGGCAAAAGTATTGTTTCACAGTGCATTTTTTCCAAGGAAATCCTGAAGAGGGTTAATAAGGATTAACCTTTTATAGTATGAACTGGTACATAAGCCTTAATTACTTGTGCTGCCTTATTGGCATAAGTACCCCAGACAGGCTCAGTTCATCATTCTTTGGGCTTATACAACAGACAATTGAAATGGAAGATACAGATAAGTTAAAACAGAGGAAATAAAAAGGGGCAGAGCAAAATAAAACTGAAAAATGTCCCCCTTTCCTTTAAACCTGATTGGGGCTTTTCAGGAAATTAAACACTGAGACTATTAGATTCAGATAGAAAACAGATGATGTCATGCATAGAAATACTACAGCAAATTCAATGGCGAGGCAGCAGAGACATATGTGAATAATCAATGAAGTATTTCTGGAAAGAACCTTTTATGTTTTTAATACTTAACACTTCATAACTGAGCCTAATAGGCAGAATAAAAAGAAGGCAGCACAAAATACAACTAGTAGGGTGAATATTTTTCCAGACACTAGTCCTTTTAGGCCCTCTTCCCCCCTTTTCCACAGTACCCAATCTTCCTCCATTAACTAATGTTCATTTACCTTTCTTTAAAAATTTCGCTAGCCTTATAAGTCGGTAAACTATGTAGCTGACTTCCAGAGTCCATTACTGTTATCACTATTATCACTTACTCAGAGAAAATTCTTCAAGTGCAGAGTAGACAATTTCTTCATGAACAAAAAGTTCAAAATAACAGACATAAATATACAAGCTTCATTATAGTTTGTTTTCCAACTTTGTCTCTTTTGCTTACGAAGGTTCATATACTAAATTAAATTGTATCCAGTACATGAAGACATCTAGTGGCTGAATGTTAACACTATTTACCAAAAACTACAAAGAACATTATGTTTTCGAACTTCTACTAACCCAGCATTGGAGAAATCAAATTTATTTGTATGACCTATGAACTCAGTCTTCATTTCAAATGCTCAAATAATCATAATTTGTGGCAATTATGCTCTTGAGAACTACACTGTGCTTTGCCAAATTAATGGCATTTTCTTACCTCTTCTTCAAGCAACAGATGGCATATACCAACATGTAATACCACAGAGTTAAAAACAATTATGAAATGATTTATAAGTCACCAAGAATATATGCAATTTAATTTCTAGTATAGCAAATATCTTAGGCATCTAAACATTCTCTTTTTCTTCATTCTTCCCTCCCCCCCTTTCTCTCCCCACAATTTTCCCTCTTCATTTCCTGTCCTATTGTTTGTATATCAAGGGAAAAAAAAAGAGCAAATATTAGAGAACAATATGGAATGGATCTTAATGGATTACAGTAATTAAATGTTTTTGCTCATTTCTAATAGTAAGCATATGTATTAAAAACTGTATGAATTCACATAGTCTTTGACTATGCATCGACTTCTCTTGTGCAGACAGTTGGTGGGTGATATATTTTCAAAAGTCATTTGATAGCTAGAAACTTTTTATTCACAAAATAATTGGAAGCAGATTTTTAGAAATTGCATGTAATTGAATTGAATGCACAATCAAATGAAAAATACAACTATGTTTTATTCTAGTAACCATTGTTCTATAGTACCATCTGGTTATGGAAAGAAAATAATCATATAAGTTATTTAACAACTTTTTCTTGAAAAATCTTGTCTATGCATGCAGAGGGAAAATTGAACCATTTCAAGATGTAAATATCAAATTAAATTCACTGAAATACTTCATAAGAAGACTTTATAAAAAGTCTTGTGAAAAAAATTTTATATGCAGAAATAAAGGAAAATAAGTAATGCAAAAAATATATGCATTTGTAAAAACATTTACTTGATTGAACACTGGTTAATGCTTTATGATAGCATTTAGGACACTAATTCACATTTATCACATTAGATCTAATATGAAATTAATTTTGCAATGTATTTTACCTTTCTTTCATTCATGTCATCATTTTGGCCTTCATATTCACCCTAGAGAAAGAAAATAATTTAATAACTGATGTAAAAACAGATAAAAGTCAATAAAACATTGCTCAGTTGTTCCTACATTGTTGGTTTTACTTTTAGGTTACAACTTGAAATGTACTTATGTAAGAGTTTTTATACTAGAATCACACACTTAGAATATTTCACTGTCACAGGCAATAAACATATGCACTATTGAGTGATACCATCACAGAACTACATTTTTAATAGTATATACGTACATCATGAAGTGGGTATGCTGCATCATAAACATTGTTTGCTATTAATGTGCCAATACCTAAAAGAAAAAAAATTAAGATGGTCAACAGCTAGGCACAGTTAAACAGAAAAGATTATTACAGATTTCATTTCATGACATTACAAAGGGGACTGAGCTGTATTACTGAAAATATTCAAAATCATGTCAAGATGGGTATATACCAACCTAGAATTGCCTAGCTATGGAAAACATGTTTTCACAGAAAGGGTCATTTCCATATAGTGCTTTTTCTTGTGTGAACTAGTATGGTACAAAGACTGCTTTGACCACTTTCTCATCCTGATAGCAAAGAGGCATGTGACTGAGGAGGAAAGCATCTGGGAAGTCCTTCTTGAAGCTTGAAAATGATCAGAACTGCAGACCCTCACTCACGCACCCAAACAATAAAAAAACCACTTTCACAGAAGTTTGTGATTGAAGAAACCCTTACTCTCTATTGACTAATATTGGATCAGGTCTCATTTTCGCTGAACCAAGTGCTGGGTTTTCTACCCTTCCTCATATCAATACATAAGGCCACCCTTCTGAGTTTGAAACAATGCTTCTTTGTTTGCAGGAGTTAAATCAGTTTGTGCTCACCAAATCCACAGTTATGCTGGAAAGCTGGATGCACCAGGACAAAAACTACTAAGTCCTAAAGATTGCAAACAGGAAGTCTGGTGAAAGGTACAGGAAGATACAGGGACATGGCATTATCACAGTGATTGCATGCCACAAAGGCTTTAGCAACTGAATTCCCAGCTAATGACTACAGCACCTATAGACATACACAAGACCACTACTGACTCTCAAGACCTATGACTCTTATAGCCATTCTGGCTTCAGTCTGCATGTGAAAACAATTGTTCCATAAGATGACAATTAAAGTTAAGATTAGTAGTTTATTCCAGACCTCTTTGCTTTCAATGTCCAGTAAAAAGTAACCGGCTAGCTTGTCTTTAGGGATGAAAAGAATTCCATAGTCAAATTACACAACAATCATTCTGAAATGTTTGGGGAAAACCTTCTGGTCAGAGATGCTAGATAGGTATTACCAACAAATTTCTTCTTTGGTACAAAGAAACATACACTTACCACTACACGCATTAATAGAATCGAGAAATCTTCATGTTTGGATCATGCCAAGTCCTCTACTGAAAACATTGCATGTTTGGAAAATTCACAATGGTTCAGAGTTATGCTAGATGAAAATATGCCTTCTTTGTATAATGTCATAGAAGTAGAATCAGATTCAGCCTTACACAGATGTAAAAATCAAGAAGCAAATGTGTTTGAAGTGTTATTTGCCTCATTATATTATGAGGCATATGTTTATGAAAACCTTAGACTGTTATAAGTACTTCCAACATCACTGTCCTACCTCTTGTGCAAAATAAGCAATGGAATCTAAAAAAAAACCCAAACAAACAAACAAACAAACCCAATAGAATAAAACTAAACAAGGATGCTCAAAGAAATCTTTTAAACCACTCATGATGAGTGGTCTTAACTCTTAAGACCTGTGAGAAGGGAAAACCTTAGTGACACATGAAGCATAGGACTCTTGGAGGAGGATCTCAGAAGACCAAAACATTTAGTGAATTTAGGTCAAACGTGATGCATAATCATGTTTTGGCTATGGGCCAGAAAGATGGGACGGACAGGAGGGTTAAAATATTTGCTTCATGTCAAATGGGATCTTGAGCTGACGTGAGCTTGACGTAGATCAGCCTGTATTTTCACCTTAGAGTTAAAAAAAAAACACCTGAAAAATCACTACTAGTGTTTTCATCTCTAATGATGGCTTTTATTACGCTATAAACCAGAACAAGCTGTTGAAATATAGAAAACTTTAAGTAAGAGGCAAAAAAAGAAAACCAACATTGGTAAAGTGTTCTTTCCCTTCCTACTGTGTCCTTGTAGGACAAATTGCTTCTTTCAGGCTTTCTCTCAGCCCAACAACTTAAAAAGTCTTAAGAGTTTTAACAGGTTCTACACAGTCTCTCTGGATCCCTTGGGAAAGCATCAGCTCTGGGAGCTGGCTTTTATGTCAACAGGCTTAGTGTCCCTGCTGGACTTGAAGCTTCTTGTTTTATATACCTTACACTGCCTTGGTTCTAAAATCCTGCACTCTAGAGACACCTACTTGGACGGGCTCCACAGCTCCCAGGGAAAGCATGGTCTTCCCAGTCACCAGGAGGGTTCCCTGGATACCAGCTGGATCAATCCAGCAAAGTAAGGTAGCATTCCTCTATGCTGCCCCACCAAAACCTTTGAGCAGCTCAAAACATAGAACAACACAGAGCAAACAGTGAACAAAACAGACACCAGCTGAACAATGTTTTAGAAATTAAGAATGCCTGCCATTTTCTTAACCATCTTTTCATTTTTTAAAGGAAACAGTGCAATAATAATAAATTTAAATGTTTGTTCTGGGTAAAGCCAAGTATTTTAGGTTGAAAAATAAGAGGTATTTTAGTTTGGGGTTTTTTTTTCATATAACTTGCAAAAAAAATATATGTCTATTTCAGGGAAACCTAAATTAATCTATTTTCCACTCCAGCTGCTCTACCAAAAAGAAATCTGTTACTGCAGCTTCACCGCACAAAGTTACACCAAGACTGTGCAGGAATCTGTTGCTACAGCACATTTATTCTTTGCAAGTACGTTACTCTAGAACATTGTGATCTGCACATAAGTGGTCAAGCTTACAGAAGGACTTTCAGAAAACATGCCAGACAAGTACTACCACTTCTTCGCCACCAGGGAGATATGTGTCATGTTATCACAATGAATGAAAGAAAAGAGTAGAGAAAAGAAAATAAATACACTTGTACATGTTCTGAACCTGAAGAAAACAAAAGCTCCAAATATTTCAGGGTTACCCCAAAAGTATCACACAATATCTTCAAAATAGTCATAGTTAAGCCATATATTTCACTATGCAGTTCATGGACATAATTTTTAAAGCTGCAGTGATAAAAATAACCTGGAAAGATGTATTATTCTATTGAAATGACAAGAAAAATCTGCTTCTAGAAGAAATAATACAACATATTGTAGTTGACGTCTGAATTTTCAAATGCAAATCCTGTAATAATAAAATCCAATTTTATAACAATTCATGAAATGCAAGTTATGTGCCAGATCCTGCACCTGTAGAAATGAAAAGCAAGCTCCCATTACCATGTCCTATACAAACCATGGACCAGAAAGTCTGATTTTATTCCTCAGAAAAAACACTTGTTTCAATCTCTGTTTTTTGTGGAAATGTGCCAGCATACTTCTGTGTGCTGCTAGAAAAATAAATATTTTCTGAGATACCTAAACGATTCCTTTTAAAACAACATATATTACTATCTTCCCTCCTTCTTACCCATGCTGTTTCTGGCCTTTGTAGGTGTGCGCTTCAAAATTTCACGTACCTGTGGAAAAGAACAATGATATAACACACAAATCTTCTTTTAGCATTATTTTCATCATGGAGCTAGCAATAAAACAAAACTTTAAAATAAAGGTCTTCTGTAGAGTTCATTTGCACATACATTTAAATCATATGTTTCACCCATATATAAATGCATGACTTGAGGCCACTAGTTAACACTTAACAATGCTATGGCAACTCTTACTGGTGGATTATCTGCCCTAATATTTGTAGGCTAAGTCTTGTTGTGTTGCATCCTTATAAAACTATATGAAGTATAAGGACTTCAGGCAGAATGAGAATTTTACATTAAAGTAAATGACAACAAAATCTGACTTTGTAAAAAAACATTTAGCTTTCACATTTGGAAGTATAACATCAAGATGCACGTAAAGTGATCAGTAAGTATGCTATATCTATGAAACCCAAGTGTGTATGGATGAACACAGCATGTTAGGGAGGAGTTGGCATTGCATATGTAAAGAGAAATCTTGCCTCATCAAACTGCTGGAGGCCTAGGGTGATCTCAGGAACATTATACAAGGTTTCTCACCAAAGACTGCTGGAGCTAAGAAGTTACTATAGGATTGTAGAGGAGGTCCTTCTATGAAATGAAATCTAGTTAAAGATTGGGAAGCAGGGCTTAATAACAACTTCGAACAATGGAGAGGAGTCAGTAGCAGTGTTTCCCTACGTAGCATCTCCTAATCCTGGACCACTGAGCAGCTCCAGAAGGGTTTCTTTTACGTACTTATAACTGCTTAGTGTTTTGCAGGAACAGAGAAATGCATAAACTCATGAAATTAGCAAAGTAGTCACTGACACTCACTATTAAAGCAAATCCCATTCAGCACAAGAAGTCAATGATATGTTACTTTTGTTTACTTACTATTCGGCTGCGGGTAGCATTGTCAAAAAAGGTGTCTTTGTCTTTAATGTTATACCTAAAACATTGAGAAAAAAAAAAAATCAGCTATGTTTTCAAACATGGTAGTAATGAGCAAGATGACAGATAAGATTCTGATTTAGAATTCATTTAGAAACCACAGCAAGTAAGAAAAATAGATGTTTAAAGGAAATATAGATGAAATAATCATCATAATAGACTGTGCTATTTAAGACCTAGTCATTCAGAGTTCTACCTGGATTGCAACGATGGTGGGCATAAAAATGCAAAAATATTAACTAACATAAAATGCCTTTTGGATAAAGAGAGCTTGTCTATTGTTTACACAAGATGACCTTTTAATCTTTTCCTTATAACATACCCTCAACACTATAACATTCTGAGGTTATGCTATTATGTTTCAATGAGCCTAATGCAGGTGTCCCTTACTCTTTCTCAGGCGACTAACTCATCAGTATTTCACTTGCTTTCAAATAATCACTGGAATTATGCATTCCCTTAAACCTTAAAGTCATCATATGTGAAATTAGCCTTCCCAGTTTATTTGTGTCAATCAATTTGACTTGTATTCAGTATTAATTAAAATTGTCAGAAAGGACAATAAATGATATGGTGGGTCATTATATTTATTACTGAATTTTATTTATCAGACATAAATACAAGGAGACACCCATGAGGAAAAAAGGAGTGTTTAATATCAAACTGGGCCCAGAAGTAGTATTCTGAGTGAAAGGGCAGGTGTCAAGAGTTCCTTATCTGCATATTATTAGTCAAGTTTTAATTACTATAATAAATCTATCAAGAGGAAAAATATTATCTGATCTCTATTAGTTTGTTCTGTTTTCAAGACAGTAATATTCCTAACCAAATAATCAGGAATTTGGTGCTAGTACTTCACAATTCAGGCTAAAAACATAGATATTTCATTTCTTGCGCTCCTTCCAGTGCCTTAACCAGCAGAAGGAAGTAGAACACTGGCAGAAAGTCTCTGCAACATAGATTTCTGTTAATCCACTGAAACTGAACTCGGTGACAATGCATGTTCATTTACTTTAGATCTATTCACTTGGCCTTCAATAAATTTAGTTTTATGCAGAGATAAGCTTTTATCACTTGGAAATCTTATTCAGGAATAATCTGACAACTTGGATATTTCCTCAGAATTTCCAGAAATACTCAATGAATTTCTGAATATTGATTGAAATACTGGTAGAAAAAATGAGAACACTAAAATGATGTTATAGCTTTCTTCTTTGCTCATCACAATTTAAAGTACTTACAAATATATTTTCTCTCTGGAAAATGGGTAAGACAGGCTTTTCATGTTGGTATTTTCTTGTTGTGGCACCTGGGGTTGCAGAGGTTCAGTCAATTTGCACCATATTTCATTTAATGTTTTGAGTATTCCCCCTTCTTCTGTGATTTCATACATCTGAGTAAATAAAATGTTGTGTATTAGCATGTCACTTCCAAAAATCCACTAAAATAAAAAAAAAAAGATAGAATTTGCTATACACGTGTTTAAATCTGTAATTAAAATAAGCGCCTTCTCTGAAATATATATTCCCATATAACAACAAGCACCTGAATCCACAAGGGTTTCAGTTCCAAAAAGAAGTTCTTGTCCTTCACAAGCTACATTCAGAAGAAAACTCAGTGCAGAATTGTTAATACAAGAAACAACCTTACTAAATAAACTAGGAGCTGAAGGGAGATGACAGAAAGGCAGAATAATTATTTTAACTTTGCAAGTGGGAATAGAGTGAGCAGACAAAGCAGGGAGGGCCTTTACCTGCTGCCAATTATACTGCCCCAGCAGAATAAATTATTCCTGGGTAATAATTGCTAGTATGGTTTGACAGCACATGTACACTTGCCATTAGAAGCAAGGATGCCAGGCTCATGGCTGCATGGTAGTTTTAAGAGCAAGCACCTAGCTTTTGCTGATTCAGATTGTTGTGGAATGCTAGGGAGCTTCCCAGAGATATGAAGGTATTTTTTCCTAAAACACAGACAACCTTAAAAAACGAGTTTTTGTCCTCCTCATATGACATTGCTTCCAGCCCTTTCACCAGCTTTGTTGCCCTCCTCTGGATGCATTCAAGTACCTGAACATCATTCTTAAATGGTGGGGCCCAGAACTGCACACAGTACTCAAGGTGAGGCCTCACCAATGCTGAATACAGGGGGATAATCACCTCTTTTAACCGGCTGGTTATGCGGTGTTTGATGCACCCCAGGATGCCGTTTGCTCTCTTGCTGCCAGGGCACACTGCTGGCTCATATTGAGCCTGCTGTCAACCAGCACCCCCAGATTTCTGTAGGGCTGCTCTCCAGCCACTCCTCTCCCAGTTTATACTTGTGCCTGGCATTACTCTGTCCCAGATCCAGAATCTGGCATTTGTTCTTGTTAAATTTCATCCCATTAATCATAGTCCAATGCTCCAATCTATCTAGATCCCTCTGCAAGGCCTCTTGTCCCTCAAGAGTCAACAGCACCTCCCAGTTCAGTATCATCAGCAAACTTGCTAATGGTGAATTAAACTCCTGCATCTAGATCATTGATAAATATTTTGAATAGAACTGGCCATAGAATTGAACCCTGAGGAACACTGCTGGTGACTAGTCGCCAGCCAGATGTAGCCCCATTCACTACAACCCTTTGAGCCCTGCCATTCAACCAGTTCTTCACCCAGCACTCTGTGCACCTGCTCATCTCACAGCTGGACAACTTGTCCAGAAGGATACTGTGAGGGAGACTATCAAAAGCTTTACTAAAATCCAGAAAAAATTACATCCACCACCTTCCCATCATCCACTAGGCAGGTAACCGTATCGTAGAAGGATATAAAATTAGTTAGACAGGACTTTCTCTTTGTGAAACCATGTTGACTGTGCCTGATGATTGCATTGTCCTTTAAATGCCTTTCAATTGCACCCGATATGATCATCTCCATAATTTTTTCCAGGTACTGAGGTTAGACTAACAGGTCTGTAGTTTCCTGGGTCTTCTCTCTCACCCTTCTTATATATTGTAATAACGCTGGCTAGCTTTCCATCAGCGGGGACGTCCCCAGACTCCCAAGAGCTTTGGTAGGTGATTGAAAGGGGTCCTGCTGTAACATCTGCTAACTCCATCAGTACTCTGGGATGAATCCCATAAGACCCCATAGATTTATGAACATTCAGCTGATACAGATAGTCCCTTACAAATTCAGTGTCCACAAATGGAAAGTCACTCTTCCTGCAGCTGTGGTCCTCTGACTCAGAGGACCAGGCAGCCCAAAGTCTATCATTAGTACTAAAGATTGAGGCAAAAAAAGCATTAAAGGCCTACACTTTTTCTTCATCCCTATTTGTCAGATGACCAACAAGTATCGGTCCAATATTTTCCTTAGACCTCCTGTTGCTATTAACATACTTTAAAAAGCCTTTTTGTTGTCTGACATGACACTGGCCAGTTTTAATCTAGCTGAGCTTTGTCCTTTCATGTTTTCTCCCTGAATATGCAAACCACAACTCTGTAATCTTCCTGCAAAGCCTGACCTTGCTTCCAGAGATGGTACAATTTCTTTTTCTTCTTGAACTCCATGAGGAGTTCCCTGTTCAACCAACTGGTCTTCTGTCCCATTTCGTTGAATTACGACACGCTGGAATTGCCTGCTCCTGTGCTTTTGAAAGGTGGCTTTCAAAAACTGACCATTGCTTATGGACCCCAAAGCCCTCAAAAGCAGATTCCCAGAGGACACTGCTAACTAGCTCCCTGAGTAGCTTGAAGTTTGCTCTCTTGAAATCTAGAGCAACAACTCTGCTGACCTTTTTTCTCATTATGACTGAAAACTTTAAACTCAACCATTTAATATATATATATATATTTTATAGATATATATTTATATTCTATAGGCATCAATTGCCTATAGAATAATTCATCAGTGCTATCATGCTGGCTGGGCAACCAATAGTAGATACCCACAACGACATCTGCTTTGTTTTCCACCCTCCTAATCCTCTCGCGGAGGCTCTCAACTATATCATCCCTAACTGCAAGGGCTGTACAGTCAAACTTCTCCCTTATATACAGTACAACTCCTCCATCTTGCCTGCTCTGCCTGTTCCTCTTGAACAGCCAATAGCCCTCCATCCCAGCACTCCAGCCATGGGACTCATTTCACCAAGTCTCACTAATACCAGAGACATCATAGCTCTGGGAACAGACCAATGCTTCCAATTGGTCCTGTTTGTTTCTCATACTCATATTTGAGTGTGGCCCATTCTCACTCATCAAAAATAACTATATTGTCATATCCAGAATTATACATATAGTTAAAATAGCTCAAAAAGTACCTTTTCCCAGCATGTCATTTGTCCTGAAAAATGATTTAAGACTGGACATTTGAAAAAAAAAATTTTTGCAACCAATTCATCATGTTTAGAGGTGGATAAATACTTTCCACTGAAAATGCTTTGTTTATGGTTTCATTGGATGAATAAAAATAGCATCACAGAAAATACCTAATGTGCCTTGAAAACAACCTTTTGTCTCTCTGAACAGAAATAGAATTTTCTTTTCAGTGGTTACTGGCTGAATTTTTCAGTTTGTATTGCCAAATCCCCAAAATACAAGATTTCAGTTTTTCAAAGTGGATTTTTGCTTTCTTCACAGGAAATTCATCTTCCAACTGTCTTTAATTGCAAAAAACTTAAGACCTGAACATAATTTTCCGGTCATGCTTGCTTTCTGGTAATGCACTGGTAGTGCTCCATTTCTGCTGTTGAGATAATAGAAAAACAATGTAGTCAACAAGCGTTGTTAGTAATCTTCTCCTTAAAAATGCCATATCACTTTTAAGTTATACAAAACAACTTATTACCCTAGGGTGAATTTTCAGGAAAATTGAGATCTGGTTTCCTTGTTGGTAGATGTATTTCATTTCATCTTCATCTACACACCAAAACAAATTACACGTACAAACCTGAATATTGTTTTCATAACTGCCTAATCAATGACTGCAGGTCCATTTGCTCTTTGAATATTTGTCATATTTCTCAATAAATGTCAGTTATACAGGAATCTCATTCAACATGAAGAGGGCACAGACCTGATTGGTTCATCAAAATCTGTTGCTTTAAAGAAAAGAATGCTGTAAATAATGTATAATCTCTTTTCTTTGTGAAATCATGTTTGCTTGATGATTGCATTGTCCTTTAAATGCCTTTCAATTGCACCCGATATGATCATCTCCATAATTTTTTCCAGGTACTGAGGTTAGACTAACAGGTCTGTAGTTTCCTGGGTCTTCTCTCTCACCCTTCTTATATATTGTAATAACGCTGGCTAGCTTTCCATCAGCGGGGACGTCCCCAGACTCCCAAGAGCTTTGGTAGGTGATTGAAAGGGGTCCTGCTGTAACATCTGCTAACTCCATCAGTACTCTGGGATGAATCCCATAAGACCCCATAGATTTATGAACATTCAGCTGATACAGATAGTCCCTTACAAATTCAGTGTCCACAAATGGAAAGTCACTCTTCCTGCAGCTGTGGTCCTCTGACTCAGAGGACCAGGCAGCCCAAAGTCTATCATTAGTACTAAAGATTGAGGCAAAAAAAGCATTAAAGGCCTACACTTTTTCTTCATCCCTATTTGTCAGATGACCAACAAGTATCGGTCCAATATTTTCCTTAGACCTCCTGTTGCTATTAACATACTTTAAAAAGCCTTTTTGTTGTCTGACATGACACTGGCCAGTTTTAATCTAGCTGAGCTTTGTCCTTTCATGTTTTCTCCCTGAATATGCAAACCACAACTCTGTAATCTTCCTGCAAAGCCTGACCTTGCTTCCAGAGATGGTACAATTTCTTTTTCTTCTTGAACTCCATGAGGAGTTCCCTGTTCAACCAACTGGTCTTCTGTCCCATTTCGTTGAATTACGACACGCTGGAATTGCCTGCTCCTGTGCTTTTGAAAGGTGGCTTTCAAAAACTGACCATTGCTTATGGACCCCAAAGCCCTCAAAAGCAGATTCCCAGAGGACACTGCTAACTAGCTCCCTGAGTAGCTTGAAGTTTGCTCTCTTGAAATCTAGAGCAACAACTCTGCTGACCTTTTTTCTCATTATGACTGAAAACTTTAAACTCAACCATTTAATATATATATATATATTTTATAGATATTTATTTATATTCTATAGGCATCAATTGCCTATAGAATAATTCATCAGTGCTATCATGCTGGCTGGGCAACCAATAGTAGATACCCACAACGACATCTGCTTTGTTTTCCACCCTCCTAATCCTCTCGCGGAGGCTCTCAACTATATCATCCCTAACTGCAAGGGCTGTACAGTCAAACTTCTCCCTTATATACAGTACAACTCCTCCATCTTGCCTGCTCTGCCTGTTCCTCTTGAACAGCCAATAGCCCTCCATCCCAGCACTCCAGCCATGGGACTCATTTCACCAAGTCTCACTAATACCAGAGACATCATAGCTCTGGGAACAGACCAATGCTTCCAATTGGTCCTGTTTGTTTCTCATACTCATATTTGAGTGTGGCCCATTCTCACTCATCAAAAATAACTATATTGTCATATCCAGAATTATACATATAGTTAAAATAGCTCAAAAAGTACCTTTTCCCAGCATGTCATTTGTCCTGAAAAATGATTTAAGACTGGACATTTGAAAAAAAAAATTTTTGCAACCAATTCATCATGTTTAGAGGTGGATAAATACTTTCCACTGAAAATGCTTTGTTTATGGTTTCATTGGATGAATAAAAATAGCATCACAGAAAATACCTAATGTGCCTTGAAAACAACCTTTTGTCTCTCTGAACAGAAATAGAATTTTCTTTTCAGTGGTTACTGGCTGAATTTTTCAGTTTGTATTGCCAAATCCCCAAAATACAAGATTTCAGTTTTTCAAAGTGGATTTTTGCTTTCTTCACAGGAAATTCATCTTCCAACTGTCTTTAATTGCAAAAAACTTAAGACCTGAACATAATTTTCCGGTCATGCTTGCTTTCTGGTAATGCACTGGTAGTGCTCCATTTCTGCTGTTGAGATAATAGAAAAACAATGTAGTCAACAAGCGTTGTTAGTAATCTTCTCCTTAAAAATGCCATATCACTTTTAAGTTATACAAAACAACTTATTACCCTAGGGTGAATTTTCAGGAAAATTGAGATCTGGTTTCCTTGTTGGTAGATGTATTTCATTTCATCTTCATCTACACACCAAAACAAATTACACGTACAAACCTGAATATTGTTTTCATAACTGCCTAATCAATGACTGCAGGTCCATTTGCTCTTTGAATATTTGTCATATTTCTCAATAAATGTCAGTTATACAGGAATCTCATTCAACATGAAGAGGGCACAGACCTGATTGGTTCATCAAAATCTGTTGCTTTAAAGAAAAGAATGCTGTAAATAATGTATAATATATAGCAGCTAAATGAAGTAATTGGTCAATATTTTTAGATATCTTTACCCCAGATGATTCTGTGTCTTTAGGGCTTTATGATTTATTGTGCATTCTTTCTCCTATTCAGAGGAGAAAAGGGGATGCAGGACTGTTCGTGAGTGACTAGGGTGGCCAAGGGAGACTATCAGCTCCTGGAGACATTAACTCAGAACAATATGATAGCAACATTCCTCAGTTAAAATCATGTAAAATTTGCTTTGGTGTATCTGCAAAAAGCTAGGATGGAAAAATTCCCATTAAGGAAGAAGGAGGGTGAAATGAGCAGGCACTAAAAATGCACAAAAGAAACAAAGCTGGGAAGGTATCAAAGAGAGGAGTTGAATATGTAGGTCCATTTCTAGAAAGGGCCTACACATCCATCAATATGCCAGAAAGGACAGAGGTACTGTAGCTGTCCAAAACCTACTCATTTTCAAAGACTGATTACAAGTAACCAGAAGTTTGGTTTGTTTTTTTTTTTTCCTGGTATGCAAACACAATACAGGAAGAGCATACAAGACTGGCTTGGCCAAGCCCCTGACAATGACAGATTGCAACACCACAAGATGTGAACAACACTGAAGCTTTTGCTGGGTGCAAACAATCAATATGAAGAAGAAGGGGAAAAAACAAGCAAACAAACAAAAAAAAACCCCAAGAACAACTGTAGAAGAAAAGAAAATCTGTCTGTCATTTAATTCTAATGACAATGCAATGAAATAAGTATTCAGTAGTGCAATTGATGAGTACCACTAACTGAAAGCACAAGGCAGTTCCACTAACTTCAGTGGAGTTGTTAGCCAGCCTGCTAAATCATTGCAGGACCACAAATTTTGGGTTCCGCTCCTCAGAATTTACAATGGTTGCTAGCAACTCTGCTGAAAGTTCTAGATATTCTCAGCTACTACGACTGTAAAGAAGATAGTGAGCCAAAGTTTTAATGACAATGGGCAAGTCTGAATGCACTAACTCAGTGATACCACCAAAACAGACTTTCTCAGCATCTCCAGGTTTTAGAGAAATCTTAAGGCAATGAGCAGCTATCATACTATCTCCCATACTGCATCTCACCTTTGAGGACAGTTCCTTTACAAAATTCCAAATAGCTACTTCCTTCTCAGGTTTCAAAGCCCTCCTTAAAACTCGCCTCTGTCATCACTCTTCTGAATGCAGTCTGTCAGCCAGCTGCCTCTGTGGCCTTTGAAATCCCCTTTGAAAATCCCATCTTAAATCTAACTCTGAATACTAAATCATCTCAAAATAATTAGTAATGTGAAAGAATAAGCCTGGCAGTTCATTTGCTCTGATTTTGAAATAAAGTAACTCTGTGGGCTTCTATACATTTAACTACCATTCTGATCCACCCTTCTCCAGTCATACAACTGGTTCATAGAAGATGGAAGATACTTACCTTTTTAGTGGGCATTTTTATTTTAAGGAGTTCTGCTTCTCGACTAAGTACTTGCCACGGTGCATGTATACGGACAAAACTCAATCCTTGGCTCTTATTCTGAAACATAAAATAGTGAAAACAACTTATTTCAATATTATTGAACAGAATACAGTAATAAGGTTTCAAAGTGTCAACTACAACTAAATCATGCAACAGGAGGCAATCACAGCGAATAACCAAATTCTGTTACGATTGGAATCTTCCAATGCTCTAAAATCCATTAATCTGCTGCCCACAGTGTAGCTGTGTGTGCACCATGAAGACAGAAGTCTACAGTTCCAGATGTTGGAGTCACGTGGACCAGAAACCCCCAAGCTACAGCTTCCATACCCAGATATTGTAGAAGTCATCTGACTTCATTAGTGGGCTTTTGTGCCCATCTGAGCCAATAAAGAAAAAACATTTCTCCTGCTCTGGGTGGGCTTTGATTTAGGTTCCCATTTTCAGTTTTGCCCAATTATTTCCTAGACACTTCACCAGATCAGTAGTTCCTTACAGGGGATCAGGCCCAACATTTACCACCCTAAATATCTGCAGTTGGAGTAGCAACCCTAACCAAAACATTCAAATTTAACTTCTGAAGAGACACGTGAGCCTAATGTTTATGTAAATAACTGGTTATGCTGTGCAGGGGCAAAAGACTACACAAGAGGGCCTCTGCACAGCCAGCTTGCTGCGATCTGGGCTGTTGAGAGGGTGCTGTGTGGTAGCACATGTGAGCTAGAAAAAGGCACTCTAAGATGAGAAAGCAGCACGCCTGGCAAAAGCATGAAAATGAAATGTAGGCATGTTGACACAGACTTTTCCTCAATGCACACAAATAAATTATATCAGCAAGTTGCACAGATTAATGCTTACTGTGGAAATGAAGGGAATAAAAGTTGGGAGGGAGATTAGAAAGAGGATATGAGGACACATTTTGGGAAGGACATGGAAGTGGACAGGGGGAGTGGACTTTAAAGTGGACTTTGAAGGCTTGATTAATGCTAAGATTAGTGATATTTGTGTAGCTGTGTGCACTCTGGAGCTTTGGTGCCAGGGCATACTGTAACTTTGCATTTTCCCACCCATATGTGTGTAAGGATCAGGACAGTCCCCTCCCTTCAGGGGAGCATGAACCTCTATTTGCACTCCCTCATATATACTGCAATTTAGAAGTGAGACAAGAAAACTGAAGCAGGGTGTTCAACTTGATGAGAAACATAGCTGGGTTACATGTTGGGCTTAAATGCAAAACTTGGGTGCCCCACCTGTGAGTAGCTGCCTGTTACGTGTACAAACATTTGCACATGAGAAAGAATGTTAACGGACATAGCTTAATGTCACTATAATCAACAAGCAGCATAACTCTACAAAGCTGGGAACATAGACCATATCCATGGAAACTTAGGATCTTCTGTTGGAAACTGACTCCAAGAAAGTTCTCTTTCTCAAAAGCTTTGAGTTAAGAAAAGTTTTAAAAAGAAACATGAGTCACAGTTTAAAAGTATGTCTAAAAGACAGTGGAGGCACATTTACCTCAGTAAAGCCTCTCCTCTCAGCCACAGTGATATTTTTTTGTTTTGTTTTGTGTACAATTTATATCAATTTCCAAATAAAGCTGTATCATATCACATTGGCATCAGCATTTTAGAACCAGTATTTAATCTTTTCAAAGTGTATAAATGCTTACAACTTCATTTAAACACCAAACATGCATTTGCTGAATGTTTCATAATGCTTCCTGATTAAAAAAAAAAAAAAAAAAAAAAAAAAAAAAAAAAAAAAAAAAAAAAAAAAGACTTAGATGGAAATCCTACTATTCTTATTGCAATCATTTTGCTGTTATCTCCCTTATAGCTATACCATGAACTACAAAGATCACTACATCACTTTCAGCTAACATTTCTTCAGCGGACCGATGTTATTTTGAAGAGCAGAATGAGCTGCAGAATGTCTCTTTCATCAGTCCACTGGGGAAGTCAGCTTTAGGAGAAGGAAGTAAGAATTTACTGGGCATGAGCAGATGTTCTGGTAATCATTTGCTGAAAATATATTAATAACAGATGAGAGTTTAAATTTCAGTGGGTGAGGATCAGGAGCCTTCTTCTCAGCTTTTGGCTAAAATCAAGCGTGTGTCCTCTGTCTGGGGGACTATATTCCACATTGGCAAGAGCAGGGACAGTCTGATCTAATTGGTTGTTTCCAGCTCAGGCTCATATGACTACACAGATTGCAAATAAAATCAGTCAGATAATTTGAGAGAAAAGACCAGATGAAGAATATGACCTTTGTACATTTGAACAAAAATATGTTGGAAAGTTGTGCTATTCACGAAGCGATATCAGATGCTGAGGAGTCAGAGCCTTAAAAATCTTTAAAAGCCTTAAAAATCACCCCACAAGAGCAAACAGAGATATTTTTTTTAAAGGCTAATGCAAAGTAAATAAAGTAGGGAAAACAGGACAAGGCGATTCCTGTTGCATGGTAAACAAAAAGTGCAGAACAATAGACTGCTGAATATTTAGCTTGGGATTACTAGAACCATGTTTCCCACATCGTCCTATATTTTCCTAACATTCAAATTAATCAAAGAAATTTAAAATAAATTTTAAATCATCAATCTCATATCCTATCTCAAGGGATAAACCATCTACCTAGTTTTCTATTGAGCCACCAAAATAAAAACCTATACCAGCTACTCCTCTGGTAAGGCTGCTTTCCCCACTTTTCAAGCCTTCACCTGCACTAGTCTGTTTGCATGCCCTTTTTGTCATTATTGTTATGATGACTGGCAAAGATCTGTTCAACTAACTCATTCCCAGAGTGCTTATTGCATTGCAAACATTACCAAAAGTTAGAACTTGGTTTTCTCATTGCCAGGATGGATTTATAGCTGTCTCCTGGAGATATCCACTAAGTGGTGTCATTTAGTTAACCACCTGAAATGATCAAGGTACCTGTGTTCATGAATACAGTTTAATATTTGCTCTAGTGAAATGCTATCAGACCTCTATTTTGAATACTCACAATCACCATTGCTTATTCATTGTACTCTAGATGTATCACCGAAGCTAACATGTTGTGCTCGCTGACGTTATTTTTGTTTGACCATTCACTTGTTATTTAATACAGCCATCCTTAATCAAGTCCTTTTTCACTTACAGCTGATGTCCCACAGGACTTTATTCTTGGCCCTGCATTGTTCTATGTCTATATCATTTCACTCCCTGATTATATTACTCAAATGACTAAGTATTGCAATGCAGATGACAAACAGATTTGTTGCTCTCATGATCCTTTTTTCGTCAAATCTATATTCCATATTACAGTGTTCTTCCAATAAGTTTCAAGAGTGGAAGTTTTTCAATAAGTTGATTCTGAATTATTCAAGATATATTTATATCTTGGCTTCTTTTCTATATCGTAGAGCTGAATTGGGCCCTCCCATTTCAACAGGAAAACTCAGCATTAATGTCAAATGGAAGAAAATCTGGAAGGTCTGGTTTGCTCTTCAGTCAGCACATGAAGAAAAACATATCAGATATTTCTTTCAGTCTATCAGGTATTCCTAGTAGTTTAAAGCAGGACTTCAACAGCAGTCTATATTGCATTTTTTTCTGTCTTCTAGTGGAAGTGTTTAGGCTGAATAAAATTCAAATTTCTCCAAGGAGACTTTTTCTGTCTTTCATGCCTTAACAGTAAAATAGAATAGCACCTGCATCAAGTCTAAGATTTATTGCAAACTTATCAAGTTGTTGCATCAAGACCATAGCAGAAAAAAATGTATGATAACTATGAAAGCTCGTATATAGAGATATATAAAGAATATACTCCTATCGATTATAATTTGACTAGTGCAAATTGAAAGTGATTATTCTTTTTAACTAAAAGCTGAATGTTCTGAAACATGGCTAGGCAAGTATAATAGCTAGACTAAGTAGAAAATCTCTCTCTGCCCAAAAATTTAGATTTGTCATTGAATTTAGGTTTCCACAAAAATCAGATATTGAGTGAGAATTTTGTCATTCTAAAGTTAGTGGCATATCTGTATTTCTCACCCACTTTTTACAGTTACAGTTGTCCAACAGTAACATGGAAAATTTTTGAACCATTATAACACAATTACCATGCTTTTATTCATCTCTTCCAGTTCACAGTTTCTCAATTCCAACCCTTGCAGGGACAGGCCACAGATTGAGGAGATGCACTGTGAAGCATTCTCTATTGCAACAGGAGTTTGTGGAGAAGTCCTGTTGCTCCATAAGAACACAGCATGTAGAAGGTGGAGTACTGCGTTTCCAGCTCAAGGATTTCTCATAGTGCCATTATTTTGCCAGGCCAATTTAAATCCCACCTTACTTCATTCAGACAACCCATTTGTCATGTGTCAGCCACATCACCTCAAGATGAATTGTTCTCAGCAGTTTATTTAGACACCTCTAATATGAGCTAAAGCATATGATGCTAAAGGCATCATATTTGTCGGTCACAGTCAAGAAAACAAAAAGGGCAAAAGCAATAATTATACTCTGGAAGAGCCTCAGACTTTCCTGTGGTTAGCATATTGCTTCTAGCAACTCTGCAAATACAAAATTCATTGCTGAGTGCTACATTTTGCTAAGTCTTTCTCATTATTGCCTCACCATGAAATCACTCGTCACTCATCCTATACTGAAGGAATGTAGTTATATATAATGTATATATTAAAGGAAATAAATTCTTTTAAAATACTTGTCCAAAGAAATAGATTTCTGCTGTGTATCTTAATAGGAAGAAAAGAGAAACACTGAAGGGTAGAAAGAAGCTGAACAGAAGTGATTAACTACTGTCTAAGGGAGTCTAAGGGAACTGCTAATCTTTCTCATGATTTAAAAAAAATATACATAGGAAATAGAAAGGCATAAATTATCAAACCTGAAGCATGTAAACTTCCATCTTAAAAAGGCAAACTATCTGGGCTTTAAACATTTTATCTTTCTGTGATTATTAAATAGACAGAAAAATACCAGACACATACAGACAGCAAGTTTCTAATGGCTTCAGTTAATATAATCAGACATCTTTTGCTGACATTG